AAATAATAAAATTCTATTCTATTCTATCTGAAGGCAGAGTGTCAAAGCTAAATGAAGAAATATAGGCAGCTCTCAACTTAGAACAGTTTCAAGCCACAAAGCCACTGGGGAAAAAAAAAGGACTTTTCACACTTATGACCGTGGCAGCCTAGAGTGGTGCGGTGGCCTAGAGGCGGAGCTCTCCCCTCACAATCTGGAGGCTTGTGAGTTCGATTCTAGGCAGAGGCAGCTATTACTCTCCCTGGGCACGATGATAATTTATCTGCTGAACAAAACTCCGTACTGGCGACAGGGAAAGGCATCTGGCCACTAAACACTTTGCTAGCTCCATTCAGTTGCCCAGACTCCACCCCTGCAAGGGATTATGGGTTTTGCAGATGGCCTTCATTTGCCTTTTTATTTACCCTCTGTAGTTATTTCAAGAGACAACATTGAAAATAAGGAGGAAGGCTAGCCAAATTTCCCCAAAAATAAGACCTCCCCGGATAATAAGCCCAATCAGGCTTTTGAGCGCATGGGCCAAAATAAGCTCTCCCCCGAAAATAACTCCTCCCTGAAAATATTGCAACAGCCAGGAGGTGACCACACTCGCCGCCTCCTGCACCTCAAAAATAATAAGACCTCCCCGAAAATAAGGCCAAGCGCTTATTTCAGGGAGGTCTTATTTTCGGGGAAACGCGGCAATAAAACAATCCCCTTTGTTAGGAATCTGCCAGGCTTGCAAGAGGTCCAGAGGAATGAATGTGGAAGCTACTGTACCTGACGAAAGAGAGACTAAGGAATTTTGGCTTCCATGTTGCTGACTGAGGTAAAACGGAGTGGTGGATGGCGCGGCGGGCGCAGCGATGGTATTGGTCTGTAACTGCGACAAACGGGGAAGAGAACAACAGGTGTTTATCGGTCAAAAACTGCACAACGTGAACCTCCCACACTGAATGCAGAGAGAGAGTAAATGTGGCCCGGCGAGCTGAGAAAAAGAATGTTCCGTCACAGGGATAATCCTAGAAAATTCGGTAGCCACATCTGCTTTGAAACAAGATGGACGACAAATCTAATGAATAAATAAAATGCTCGCTTCCAGATAATCGCTGTAGGCGAAGCTCATCTGCCATTCCCAAGAACTGACATCTTGGCTAGGATTGAATGAAGAAAGTGGTTTAAGGCCTGCAGATCTCAAGTAGGATTATTAGAGACTGCAAGGCAACCCCCAAATCTCCCCCCCCCCATAACAACACCAAAAAGAGAGGAGAAATTCCTATTTAAAAAGGAAAGGGAGGGCTGAAAACACTGCTTAGGGCAGAGGTCAGCAACCTGTGGCTCTGGAGCCGCATGTGGCTCTTTCATCCCTCGACTCCACAATTGATAGGGCTTTCTTTTAGGACAGGTAGAGGAAAAAGGANCCCACACTTGGGCATACCAGGGGTTGTGACTTTAAGTATATATATATATATATATATATATATATATATATATATATATATACACACACACACACACACACACACACACACATACACATACACACATACATATATATACAGTATATCACAAAAGTGAGTACACCCCGTCACATTTTGTAAATATTTAAATATATCTTGCCAGCAGTTTAGGCATTAATGGCTGTGTGTTGCGTTATTTGGAGGGGACAGCACATTTATACTGTTATACAAGCTGTATACTCACTACTTTACATTGTAGCCAAGTGTCATTTCTTCAGCATTGTTGCCACATGAAAAGATATACTTGAATATTTACAAAATATTCAAGGGGTAAACTCACTTCTGTGATATACACACACATACATACATACATATACATATACATACACATACACACATACACACACATACATACATATACACATACACACACATATTTGTGATTAAGAATAATATATATATCCTAAATTTCTCCTTTTTCAACTCAAGAGTGCATAATAATCAAACAGGGTCAGAGACAGCCGTACATAAGAGATAAACACTGGCCAATTCAGTTTGAAATATAAAAGGAGGCTTGGAAGGAATGTATTCTGTTTATATATTACATTTCTTCCCCCAGACTTTGAGTAAGGTGTGCGTTCTCTATAGTTTTGTATACTTATCATTTAAGTCCCCTGTTGCAACCAACTTTTTAAAACTGGCCATTTAATTCTCGAATACAGACCTAGCAACATATAACCCAAATACATTAAACAGGACATGTTATTTATTCTCTTTGTTGAGACGGTGAGGAAATCGCTCTCTTCACTAAGAAGGAGAAAATTGCAACTGTGTGCAAAACAATTCCCTGAATTTTTTATCCATGGGGAAACGACCCCCATTAAGTTGACCCACCGCTTCCTTATTTTTCTTCTTTATCGATGTTTCTAGTCAAAAATATACCAAATAAAGGTATATTTATTCATCCTATTTATTTTTAATATTTAGATTTATCTCTCCAACTCCTGCTGAGTTTTTCCACTGTATCCTTTCAAATTGAAAATAAAACCACACGCAAAAATCAATAATAATAACAGCAAACAATAATAATAACAGCAAACAACATCAGTCTATCTCAAAACCTGGAAAAATACTTGATAGGTGGATTTAAAATACCAAATGCAACGTAAACAACCAGGCACTTGCAAAGAATGGTAATAATTAAATATTAAATTTAATTTAATAGATCAATTAAATTAATTTAATAAATTAAATTAATTTAATAAATAATATTAAATAAATAATTTAACTCACATCCAGAACCAATCCCAGCAATTTTTGTGACCTTCTCAAGAACCCTGCAAGGTAGGCCAGCCTGGCATTCGGCCTTTTACTGGCTTCGTGCCCGACCTTTAAAGAGCCCCACCCCCCCACCTCTTATTGGACGAGGCTATAGTATAAACAACATGAACGGCCAGCCATTGGATGATCGGCCTGTCCGTCGACGGAATGGGGGCGTGCCAGGGGGAAGGAAATGAGGTCGCCCCACCCTCCCGTCAGAAGCAGCGCTCCGGTCCTCGAGAGGGCGATTCCGCCTCCGCTACCCCAGGCTTACCTCCCCGGTCGGCCCCGTTGGCTTTCCGCACCGCTCCCGTCAGGCGGAAGGCCGAGCCGGGGAAGAAGGCCGAGCCGCCAACCGTCTCCTCTGCTCCGCAGTTGGCGGTTGACATTCGAAGAAGCGGCTTCAAGTCTAGACGCCGAAGGCTCGCGAGGCAGCTGCGCCGATTGGCTGCATCCCGAGCCGCCGCGCGACGCCATTGGCCAGCGGAGTCGGGAGGTGGGCGCAGGATCGAGGGACGCTATTGGCCCCGTGTGGGACGCTCTCTCTCTCTTTTAGGTCAACGAGTGAGGAACGGGGGAGGGGGGGGAAACCTCTCTGGGATTGGCTCCTTCGGGGCTCAGCCATCGGAGGGGCGCATGCGCTCGTGGGGCGCATGCGCAGCAGCGTCGGGGCTTGAGGCCTAGTCGTAGTTGAATTACCCCGAAAGTAAGTTTGGGAAGCAACCGCAAGTAAGAGACTGGCCGTCCCGAGGAAAGCTTCCCCCTCTCCGGTGCTCCCTTCCCTCCGACTTAGAAGCTGATCGTGTCCGTTTCCCACCTTCTCTTTTCTCGCCATCCTAAGCGCACAACAACCCTGCCAGGTAGGACAGGCGGATCGAATGAGAGCCAAAACAGCCGGAGGGCTTCACGGGGGCGGTTGGGGGGGGGCAGAGAATAAGGATTTGAACCCACATTTCTCCACTTCTAACCCAGTATTGGACTGCTCTGATAACTGGGGAGAAACTCCCCCCCCCAAAAAAGAGGGGTGCCCCGCTTAGTGACTGTGTAAAGTTTACAACTGCACTGGGGGGGGGTGTTAAAAATGACTCGAGACCATTGGTTGCACGTCACGTGATCAAAACACAGCCGCTTGGCAACCGCTTCGTACTTACGACGATTGCAACGTCCCATGACCCCCTTCTGCGTCCGTCCTGCAAACCAGATTCACTTAACGACCACGTTTCTAATTGAACACCTGCAAAGATCCACTTTTAACAACGGCGGCAAGTGAGGTCGGCAAATGGAGCAAAACTCACATTAACAAGATGTCTCACTTAGCAACGTACATTTTGGGCTCGATTCATTATGGTCGTATGTCGAGGACTGCCGGTAGTCCCTTTCCGTCACCTTTATGTAAAGATCGAGTTACTGGGTGCTTTAAAAAAAAAAAAAGCCCTCCTTATGGGGTGCCCTTGCTTATTCCCACGTGCGTATCTCTCCGCTTTTAAAAACCTGGGTTAAAAGAAGAGAATGTGGGGTTTCCTTCTTACCATGATGGAGAGCGGCCAGGCTGCATTTCCTCTGGCAGTTGGTTGCAATGCAGTGGCCCGAGCCAGTTCTGCAGTGATGCAGCCTTTGCCCCCCCACCCCCACCCCCCCAGCTCCCAATCCCATTTATTCCCTTGGCAACTGAAGTGGTAGGCATGACATTGTGACTTCACCGCAGAGGGATGAGANGGAGGAGGAGGAGGAGAGGAAGAAATAGAGGAGGAGAAGGAAGAGGAAGAGGAGAGGAAGAAATGGAGGAGGAGGAAGAGGAAGAAATGGAGGTGGAGGAAGAAGAGGAGAAGAGAGGAAGAAATGAAGGAGGAGGAGGAGGAGAGGAAGAAATGGAGGAGGAGAAGGAAGAGGAGAGGAAGAAATGGAGGTGGAGGAGGAGGAAGAGGAGAAGAGGAAGAAATGGAGGTGGAGGAGGAGAAGAAATGGGGGTGGAGGAGGAGGAAGAAGAGGAGGAAGAGAGGAAGAAATGGAGGAGGAGGAAGAGGAGAAGACCTTTCATTAAAAAACAAATCTTTTAATCAAATAGGCAGCATCTCATCAGCTGCACAAGAAGAGCCACATTTTAGTCACGTCCGGGAGACATTTTCACATATATGCACACGCACACACAACATGCCAAAATATGTTATGGTAGACGAATGACTACTTAGACATTTCTTTTATAACTCTCTTTTTGCAACACATGCATGGAGGCATTCCTGGGGTTTGGCTGAGACAGAATCAGACTCTCACCCCCAACAAATTTTGCATGGAAGTGTAAAGGGAAAAAGAACAATCCATCCAAGGGGCCTTAAATGAAAGAAGACAATTTGAGCGCTGGGCTGGGCTAGCTTGCTTCTCTCAACAAAGAATTACAAGTTAGAAACTTTTCCCTCTTAAACCAACAACGCACGATGTTAATATCACGACAAACTCAAGACGTAAAAGCACCACCACGAATCGGACACAGACACAGTTTGAGAATTAAGCCCCCCCAAAAAACAAAACACTTTAGTCAATGCTCAGGTTTGGAGCAAGCAACGTTTTGTGGACTGGCATTCCTTCCAGACCCTTTCCCAAACATAAAAAGGCAGGAAATAATTATTTTTCGGTAAGTAGTCTCCCTTCTCCAATGCAACACGCAACCTCAGACATGGATGCACAAGCGAGTATTTCTGTGAATGATGAATGGCAAAAATTCGCCCGGAAATTAAACAAAGGAAAAGGAAATGCAGACCAACGTACGAAGGGAAAACGAGAACGGTAAAAACAACAATACCTCTGTATATTTGTTTCAATTTCAGGAACAGTTGGTTACTATTATAGGAAAGGGCCATCAGGGAAGGGAAGGGGGAGAAACAGTTACCAAAAAGGGGTGTAAATATTAAAATGAACCAAATACACATAGACCAAATCTAGCAAAGACATCTATTTCCACCTGTAGGACTACATTTAACAGGAGGTGAGAATTGGAATGTCTGAGAAAAGGAGGGTTAAGAAAAAGGACTGATAATATTGGGAGAGCAAAGAAAACTCAAATATAAACTTTGATACAAAACAACGAAACAGCAAATGCAAAATAAGTCTTTAGTTTTTGGCAACAGGGACCCAAACCCTTCCCGAGTCCTGATTAAAAGAGCAGCCAGTTCCATCATCAGTAGAGCGTGGTGAAGGTGTATTACGATTTATGTACTTCTTCTAAAGCCGTTTAGCAAAACTCAGTGTCCAGGAATATCTACCTAACCTTTTTCTAAGTCACCCCTCAATGACTGGAAATTGGGATAATAACCAAGATGAAATTTAAGTCTGAAGAGCCAAGGATAAAAACTGTGAATCAGAGAGGGAGGGGGAGGGAGAAACAGCACATTTTATAACAATAATTCTCAACCCTTGCAAATTTTACTGCCTGGGGAATTCTGGGAGTTGAAGTCCACACAGTGGCTGTGGTGGAGAGAAAATGCTTCTTGCTAAATAGAATAAAAAAAGTTGAGGTTCCCAGAAAATTCACTTAATCGTTTTTGGGAAGAGACTAACAAAGCTATCATTTTAGCAGTGGCTAAGATGCTGAGCTTGTCAATCAGAAAGGTCGGCAGTTTGAATCCCTAGCACTGCGTAACTGAGTGAGCTCCCGTGACTTGTCCCAGCTTCTGCCAACGCAGCAATTCGAAAGCAGGTAAAAAATGCAAGTAGAAAAATGGGAGCCACCTTTGGTGGGAAGGGAACAGCGTTCCATGCGCCTTCAGGGGCATTGAGTCATGCCGGCCACATAACCACGGAGATGTCTTCGGACAGCGCTGGCTCTTTGGCTTTGAAACGGAGATGAGCACCGCCCCCTAGAGTCGGGAATGACTAGCACATAGGTGCGAGGGGAACCTTTATCTTTTTAACAAAGCTATCGGAGGGAATGCTTTTATCTACAAAACCCATTTTAAGACAAAAGTGAAACGAAAGCCTGTGTTGACAGGAAGTGTGCATACATCCACACGCTCACTCAAACCATATGTAACACAGACGGATTTACTGTAATATCTCAAGGCTTCGAGGAGAAATGTAAACAGAGGGATACTGTACACACCTCCCTGCCAATTAAGGAGCTATTTTAGGCATTTGATAAAATTACAGTAAACAGCATTCCCCATCCTTATCGCTTATCCCCCAACTCCCTAGCAATTCCCAGCTCCCATTCTCCAGAGCCAGACCTTCGGCATATAAAAGGCACCGAGTAAATTAAACAAAACAACTTACGTGGATTTGATGACAGAATACTTTTTGCTGTGTGACTATCTGCTCTTGGCATTGCCTCTCCACCAGGCTGAACAAATGGAGCCACCTGGTCTATGGGAAAATATAAAGATTCAGCAAAGGGAATAAAACATTTGCTTCCGTGATGGATTATAAATTCCATTTGCCCACATCTAGCCTAGTGATTGGTTGAACTCTGATGGAACGGAAAGTTTCCTCTTTTTTCTCTTGAACCTATCTGGTACCTGTATTCGGTCTGAGACCTGAACAGAAGTGAAAAGAATCCGAAGACAGAAAGAAAAAAACCCCTCCCTGAAAATCTGAAATCTAGAGAATTAGAGTGTCCTAGCAAGACTGTTGTGGCCGCCAGTGGCCAACAGAGCTGGCAGCAGATTCGGAGAGTGAGGAGGTTGGGGAGGAACCTGGGCCAGTCCTGGAGTCTGGGGAAGG